TTTCCCGTGTTAAACTGAAATATCTAAATCTAGGAAAGGACAGTTATTTATCAATTATGGACTTTTGACGATGCCAATACGTTATATATGGACCTGTTCAGATTATATTGACCGAGGACGAAGTCCAAGTGTCAATATAAACTTACAGGTCCATATATAACGTATTGACTGAGTGAAAGTCCTTAATTTTTATATTACATATGTAAATCATGTATTAGGGAAATGGACTTCAATGTTCTTTCTGTGTTATTTTGAACTGTATTTTGCAAGATTTTTCGCATGCCATTGAAAATATCAATGCATAAGGTGAAATTATTTTATTGTAAACAAAAACACAACCTATTTTATTTATTAATCTGTTAAGAACAAATGAGAATTTAAATTATATAATTTTTGACTACTGCGGTGCTTCTCCCGTGATTGTTATGTATGACATCATGACGTAGAGTAATTTCGTACCGGAACGGCTTATATCCGGATCTAAATTTAGCAAGATTTCTTATATTGACCGTCAATATACATATAAATAGAAACATAGCGTCAATATACTTAAAAATAGAAACAAGGCTTCAGATACATAAAATAACCTTTGAAACACGTGATCGCAATAACCAATGAAAAAAGTAGAATGCTACATCATATGTAATATAACCGTTTATATTTGATTTATTTAAAGTAAGTTCCCTTGGGTAAATTTCGGCAGTATATTTAGAAAATTCTTGATTATTTAGATAAAAAATATCATCAAGATAACGGTGAGTGTTGTTGAATTTATCAATTAAATGCAATTTAGACGGGTGCAATTGGCGCCCATACAACCTGTCGATAAACTTTATTGCCGAAATGTTCATAAATATTACCAAGGAGAATATATGGGATAGGGTAAAACATTTTTTCTTATTGGATTATCGAAAGACTAACTGAGACATCACATCGAAATAACTCTGCCACAATTGATGACAGAGAAGATATCAAAGCTTGGCAAAACTGCATACAAAAGGTTGCAGGAAGAACAAACACTCGATATACCAATGACCGGAGCGTCACTAAATGTTATCTTGAGTGGATTGTCGGTCATTGTTTTCTATGAAAACGACTTACACGATTGGTTGCCCTTCACTTTGGGTCCTCCTCATTTTTTCGATTCCTTAGCCCAACCACCAGAAACGTACCAAAGACGTTTTAGAAATGCACTGGTTTTTAACAGTGCGCAGCAGAACTGTTTTCTCCAATGTTAAATACAAAACGACGATTTGGAAAGGTGTAGACCGTATTGCGCTTATTTCGTATAAATTATGTATGTTTGGTTTGCTCACACATTGTTTAAAACAACATCATTTGAATGCGTTATGATTTGATATATGGCCATCTAAATAATAAACGTCTTCTTGCACTACAAGGTACACAAGAGACCTTATTTTAGTTGCCATTAGTGTTATTAAGCAACTAAGACGAGGTCCATATACGCTTCCGTATAAACTTGCTGTCGCTATGTTCTTTTAACACGTATCTACTGTACAAAAAGAACGCATTAAATAATTGTAAATAATTTTAAAAAGGAAGACTAAGGGCCAATTTCTACCTGATTTTTTTTTTCTTAGTACAGGTATCGCAACCCAATGTAAGTATCTAAACTAACTATATAATGGGTAATTCCCAAACAGATTACAAAACTATAAACGCCTAAAGAGTCTGCAGATAGTCCAAACCGGAAAAAATTTGAAAGATTTTGGCAAAGTTTGAGTATTTATCGTCAAAATGAATGAAAAAAAAATAGTTAACCAAACCAAAATTCTATAAAATAAATAAAAATATAGTGAAGCATTTATATGTATTGTTCTTCGGTTACAAATTAATTCATTTTGGTTAGCGTCGCCTACCGATGTAAAAGTCAAAAACATTTAAAAACGGTAGAGCCGATTACCCCTTGATTTATTTCGATCCAGGGCCATTAACAAAAAGTCTATTAATTAAAGTTTACTTAGATTCATAGTACCACATCCCAAAGTGTACACTCGAAGGGTTTTACAATATAATCGCTTAATTTTAAATGTATCACCCGCCCTTATAAACGCATAAAGATAGCACAAAATCGCGATTTTTGCAAATATAATCTTTCGGACATTAATTCATTTTGGCTATCGACGTCCTTCGATGCAAAATTTGACAAAAACATGTAAAATTTGCAAATTTGTATCTTCAACAGCATGCAACATGTAACGCTGGATAGCATTTTGATTTGAGGGGAATATGTAAAACTTTGACACAATATATAACGTCATCTTCAATTTTCAATGTGTAGACCAAAATTAGATTTTGACCCTATGAGTGAAATAAATCCAGGAAAGATTGGCCTCGTCGCTTTCAAAGACCCCCCCTTTTTTTCCCCTAAAAAATGGAGGAAAGCCACATGTTTCTCAAGCCACTTGTCCTTTAGCTATTTCTGTGGTTGACCCAACATCCTGCGAACAATTAAGTTTCGATGCTTTATTGCTTGAAAAAAAATTATCCAATAAGTTCACGGTTATGAATGATTATTAAAATATCTTTATTACCATCACGCAAAGTCGAAACCAACAAAACATGCAAAATAAACCAATAATTATTGAGGCGAAATAATAAGAAACTGATCAAACTCTATTAGTCCCACAACCTTATGTTTTGAGATTTGCGACTTAATAAAAAAAAAGTCGAAGCAATCATATCACATATTTTATATTTTGATATACATTAAGTAAGGCGGGAAGTACAATAATGTGCCGAGCATCGTGATAGACATCTTCTTTTAGACTGCTTCCTGGTGACTCATAAGATGGCCTACTAAACCTCGACTTGGAGTGTAAAATTTTTTTTTAATAATCTAAATAGCATATTCATATTACCGTCTTGAATGTTCGTGTAATATTGGCTGATTGGCCTCAGTCATCATGCAATTCTAATAATCTTAGATAACCAACCTTTCAAAACTTAAAAGTAAAGATCATGCACCCTTATTATTGAGATTGATAAAGTCTTTTCCATTCGTCGACATTATCTCCGATTTAGATACTATTGATCTGATTTGTAACCGGGCTAGTTTGTAGTAACCTCCCTTGTTAATGTGATGTTGTAATCAATCTGTATATTTTTACCATTTTTATATAATATTTCATTGTATTATTTAAATTCGTGATTCATTAAATATGAAGCGTAATAATTTTATTTTTTTATTATAGATAAAAACAAGGTAATTTGAAAGTCTTTGATTCATTAATTACCTTAGTTCAATTCATAAGCCAGGCGGTCTATTTTGTCTACCGTAAGTTGAAAGAATACCGGGATGATACCGTACTACGGTGGAAGATTATTACAACGATAACTTTGATACAAGATAGCAAATCATTGTGCAATAGAACAATGAGAACAAAACACAAAAATTGATTCGAGATGTCGATTTTCATTTTTGTTTGGTGAAATCGAAAATGAAAAACGAAAACACCTTTGTTTTTCATTTTATTTTTTGAGAAATATAAAAATCGAAAAATGAAAACACTTTCGATTTCCGTTTTGGTTTTTGAGAAAGTTTTCGTTTTTCATTTTGGTTTTTGAGAAATCAAAAACAAAAAATGAAAACACTTTCGATTTTCGTTTTTTGTTTTTGAAATCTCAAAACGAAAAACGAATGGACGCAAATATACACGGACCGTTGTTCAGGTTAGATTTATTTTATTTCTATTGTTTTAATTTTGTTCTGATGTTTTTGATAATGCGATGGGGTTAGTTATACACGGAAAAGTAAACTAATCGGGTGACGGTCATAAATATATTCTGGTATATGTGTTAATTTTTAGGGTCTTATTATGATAAGTCAAGTTCAGACTTATAATATACAATGCATGAAAAAGCTGGCATCCCACTTGAAAATTTGTTTATGTATTTCAAAAAGGTTTCATTAAACATCGAACATGACATGGTTAGGAGCGATACTCGTACGAACATGACTTTATTGATATAAAACATCGCATTTCCTATTTGCGGTGAGATTAACGCGAGAAAATAAATGGACGGCGGGAAAGCGACTGGCTAGTAATTTTGCAACGTCACAAATATGGAACGTCAATGCCGTTTCAACAAAACAAGAAAAACACTAGATGACTCATGACCCAAGCTTCCATTTTTAAAATGTTCAAAGTTTGTGAAATTTTGTTACAGATTATTATATTGCAGGTAAGTACTGAAGGTGACAACATCGAAATTAGAAAAGTTTGAGTAAAAATTAATAATAAGTTACCCTCTTTAGATAAAGAATTTATAATTATTATTATCATTACTATTATTATTATTATTACTATCACTATTATAAGATGAAATAAGGCATACCTAGTGTGTGAAATATAATCTTAAATTTTGATATACTATGACGATTTGAATATAAGTAATAATAAACAAATCGAGCGGTTTATGATAAGTCAATCGGACAGTAACCCAAACACAATAAATCAAGAAAATACAGGCTGATATCCAGTTGAAAAAAGACAAAATAGAACTCTCTTTATCAGAGAAGGTAAAAAGGCCAAGTTGGTCTATTTGAATTGTTTACACCTGTTTCTATGGGCTCTAAAAGTTTAATGTAGGTGCATAATTTATGATTTTTTTTGCATCTTAAATTGTATACAATGTAAACTTTTGTAAACCTTTTAATTAAAGACAGATTTTCACAAAACAGTCGATTATAGAAGGTGAAAATACTGTAAACCTGGATTTGTTTTTGTGCATAAGCATAAATTCCGCTGAAATAAATTCAAAAGAAAGATAAAATACTAATCTTTTAAAGCATTGATTTGCTTCTCTGGCCCAGGTAACAGACTTTTATGGGGAAAAAATGGGAAATAATATCATGGCATCGTAAAGAGAACATTGGTACACCTTTTTATGTTCAGGTGTGTTTGAGTTGACTGTTTTGTCTTGAAAACATTGTTTCGCTTTTGATAGCCTATTAAACAAAAACGAACAATAGTATAATGAACGGAGTTCCTGCTTTTGTACAGGTATGTAAGCATATGGCGGAGTAAACATAAAGTTATCTAAAACTGTAAATTAACCGGTTGTGTCCTATTCCCGACATCGATTTGACTGATTATAGAGTCGCATGGCGGGTAATACATGTATAGTAGGAGACACTACCCTGTCGAAGCAACCGGTCTTGCTCCTTTTAGAGTTCATAGGATTCCCTCGGTGTTTGTTTGTACTCGATTTGTATCTTCCTAAAAATAATTAGGAGATTTGGATAGTGGTAAACTATCAACAGTTATTTACAGCTTTGTACATTAAAATCAAATTTTCATGTATTTGCCATCCGCTCAATGTAAATGGATTAGTTGCCAGATCTTAAACTGTAATACTGAATTTTATGTTGAAATGAAAATAAGCATTTAAAATAAAAAAAGATCAAAACAATAATAAAGATAATGAAAAAATACAAGTCGACGAGATTATCTTTTTACAACCACTGCGGTTCTTTGTATTTCAAGTTCTTTATTTATATTTCAGTTCTTAGTACATTAAATTTCAGCAATGGTGTTGAGTACTTATATATTCAGATCTTTGTTTGTTATCGTCATTACTTACCTTCTATGGAAAATCAGAGCGTTTGTCATAAAATACAGACGGTGGCGAACAGCAACATTTGGACAAAATATAACAACTCTTGGTCAGATTCATCCAATATGGGGCTCTCTTCATTTGGTAAGTATAAATGTATTAATGGTACAAGAGGACTTTAGAAAGACATGAGTAATGAAAAATATAAATAAAAAGAGGTGTTTGGTATGTGTCTATGAGACAGCAATCAAACGACAAAAATAACCATAAGACATCTAGAGGGCAATATAGTCTTCTACAATAGACTGGTGTAAATGCAATATGTCATTGCCAAGCTATAAATCGTTTATATAATTAGAGTCTTTAAACGTTGTAATTAGGAACGAATTTCTGACGAAAGATGTCCAAATAATACCATAGCTCTTTCCAATCTCCCCCCTGCCTCCCCAAAAATGTTGATATTTTTTCCACCAAAAAGGACTTTATTTGTGTCTTATTCTTATATTTTTGTCATATTAAATTGTTTTCACCTGGTCCGAGTACACAGTTATTTCGTAGTGCATTTCTTTTAGACAATAAATGAAAATTAAAAAAATCCCACCTGCGCTTTCTCAATAATATTTTTACAGTGTGTTGTACTACTTTTGGGACAAATTATATCAAAATTATTGAAAACTTCATCGGCTCTAACTCAAAATATGGACAATTTTATGTTAAGGGGGTCTTCAAATCTTTTGACAGCTTCCGAAGTGCTAATTTTTAACATTTTTCAGCTGGACCAAATCACTACTTTACTTTAAAATTCATGACCCAAATTTTTTTAAAGTGTCATTTCACCCCCCTACTTGCTATTTGAGTCATAAAACATGGAGAAATAAATTTTGAAGGGGTATAAAAAAAATTGGCAAGTAACACACTGTCCACACTAGGGACTATATTCGTACTCGGACCACCTTATCGTTACATTTGTTTCCCTCAATTTTGGACTGTTGCATTTTTTATCGTAAAACAAATACTAAATAAGTTTGCATACACGTTTGCATTTGAAAAGAATGAAAGTACAGACAAAGACCATCCACTGATTTAATGCTAGGATCAGATTGAGGTTTTGCAGTTGCAAATTTTCTTTAAAAAATATAGATTCCGCGTCATATCTTACCATTTACTCACTTTGTGACTATTTTATGAGCGAGAGAAAATAAAAATGACTAAACATTTCGATTAATTGTATCTCTTTTAAACTCTATAGCGATTAAGCAAATAATGATAATGATATATTTAACCTGAGCTCCTACAAGATTTGATTTAATTACCTTTTGTTTGTAGTTTCATGATATTGCATCATATTTCAAGCTCCTTGGACAGATTGTTGAAAAGGAGAGACCGAAGGTTTATGTTTATTGGAGTATGTTTTTCTATGCCAGCTTTGGAGTCTGCCATCCTGACTCGGCACAGATACTGTATAAATCGTCAGCACCTAAAGCTTATGGTAGCGGAGGGGGCTACAGGTATCTAAAAGATTGGATAGGTAAGCTTATGCTGTCGGAGGTGCCTACATATACAAGTATCTAAGAGATTGGATAGGTAAGAATGCTGTCAGAGGGGCCTACAAATATCTACGAGATTGGATAGGTAAGCGTATGCGGTTCAAGCTAGGGGCCTACAGATATATAAGAGATTGGATAGGTAATAATGCTGTCGGAGGGGCCTACAAATATCTAAGAGAGAGGATAGGTACGAATCCTGTCAGAAGGACCTACATATATCTAAGAGCTTGGATTGGTATTCTTATGCTGTCGGAGGGGCATACAGATATCTAAGAGATTGGATAGGTAAGAATGATGTCGGAGGGGCCTATAGATATCTAAGAGATTGTATAGGTAGGATACAAGTTTAGATTCCGTACACTCGGTACCAATTGCAACGACTTAAACTATTGGTAAGTAAATTGAATACTTGAATAATTGATATGTGAGATCAGCTTCGAAGTAAAGTTTCACAAACTTGGTAGGAAAGGTGAACATAGTTTTAAGGACCAATATATGTATGTTTTCTACAGACACTTGGTATTCATATGGGAACCAACTGTGTGCTCCTTTTCTTAGCGACATGTACCTTGATTCATATAAGCCAGTGATTTGTTTCACAAAAAAATCTAACGACTAAAAATACTCATGTTCATTTCAGTATAATTTATTTGTTATTGCCGTAAGATTTATTTGTAAAAATAGCCTCCAAACTTCATAATTCAAACAGTTATAATATGTCCGTGTATCTTGGCAAACCACCTGAAAGTATAAAGATACATGATCTAGATGATCGTTAACATGGTTCACTTGATATCATTGAATTTGTACAAAAGCATTTTTGAGGATGTCATGCTTCTGTCAGTTATTTTTGCTTTTATCAGGACCTATCTTTATTTGAATGCCGAGAATCAAAATTTGCACCAGCAGTGTCACTCAAATGTACTTATTTAACGCGCATTGGAATATACTTATTTATCATGATGAAAATTGACAAACTTATATTTTTCATAGACTAGAACTTTTACGAATAGGACTATGATAGATTTAGATATACTATTAGATATAGGGTCACCTAAACTTCTTCTGTGAGGCAGAATAAATTTTTGTCGAAAGGGGGCGTCCGTTTTTTGCCATGACGTTATCAGTTTCTTTGACGTATGAACTGGCCGTACGGTTGCCTATATTTGCTTACATCCACTTCATTTTAAATTTGGTGGGTAGTTGTCTCATTGGCAATCATACCGCATCTCTTCATTGTTATATTGAATATTCTTTTTAATATTTTCGGCCTCTCTTATCAATGGGCAATTTTAAAATAGTGTGTTATAAATGACAAGCTGATGATACCCATTTGGTCTAGTAGGCATGTATGTCCTCTAGACTGCTATAATTGTTATACACAACTATTTGTTCAACATTAAAATGTTTACATATTCTTCCTGAAATTGCAAAATTGTTTTATAATAGGAATTTTTATGCTACGCATATATGGGTTTATTATAGGATTAAACGCCTTTTTAAAGGAATGTATTGGTGTATAAACTCGACCAATTCACTCACAAACAAATAAAAGTCCGAAGTTCGGACTTTTATGATATGTTTGTGAGTGACTTGGTCCAGTTTATACACCAACACATTCCTTTAAAAATGCGTTTAATCCTTATAATTCTTTAAAATCGGAGATAAGGAATCTATGTTTCCACACTCGTAACCTCTATCACACGTAAATTGTATATTTGTGTCATTGAATTGGCCTAGCGCATGAATATATTTGTTGGTTAACGCAAAAATATGTACTACTTGAAATTTGCAATCTGAAAAAAAAAAATAACTACAAAAACTCTTATTATCATTCAAATGAATGTTTTGAGTTATTATTTATTTTAACGATTAATGCAAAATGAAAATAAATATTTTAACGTCGAGCCAGATTTGTGTTATTATCGCCGTCATCTTGTTTACATTGGTTACAAAAAGAAGTTCGGTCAACGTCGTCTATCGAAAAATAAACAACGTCAAGAACAACTACCGGAGGTCTTCTCGACCAATCATATCAACGTTTTCTCTAATATGCAAATCATATAAGAACTATTAAGTTATCAAACAAAAGTGATATTTTCTTTTTCCTTTCACTTTCTGTGGTGCATTAATTTAAGATAACATCTGTAATATTTTCATCATGATGATGTTGTTCATGATGATGATTAAAGTACTAACTCTGTATGTTAATAATTTAATTTTGGATGTAAAACTTCTTCTGATTGGCTGAAAGGGTTTTGTCTATAAGCTCATAGACATAATTTTGTCATGTGACCACTTTAAAATAACCCGCTACGCGTGTTATTAATGTGCACAACATTTTTGAGGTTTTTTTTTCATAGACAGAAAAAAATATTACAGTCATTCCTTAAATGAAATACAATTATTGACTATTAAGAATTCAACATTGAGACATTATTTTTTTCTAGGCGACGGTTTGTTAATATCTGATGGAAAGAAATGGGAACGGAATAGACGACTTTTGACCCCTGGCTTCCATTTTGAAATACTCAAACCATACGTTGAAGTATACAACAGTGTTACAGATATATTTCTTGTAAGTAAAGTACTGTTAGGATGTTTTCCAAAATCAAAAATATTAGAGAGAAAAAATGAAGAAAAACGAAGATATCAGTTAATAATAGCGAAATTGTCTCATGTTAGATAGATAATGTCATATTGTGATATATAAAGGCAGCGCATACAATAGGAACAAAACGAGATGTTGGGAATACGTCAGTGGCATAGAAACTCTAACACGATGAATACAGAAAAGACAGACACAGGTCAGCTAACGGGTTCAGCAATATAAATAAACAAGAGTCTATGTTCAAATTCTCTACTCAGGCTGTAGACAGAAGGAATAATACGAAATTATATTATCGTTTGTTTAATAAGAATGTTTAAGTCAGATATCTGTGTGTATCATTAAATAAATTATATCATCAGTCAAGTGGTACTTTATTTGAAGTTTGTTAACACACTGAGATCCTTAGCAGCAGTGAAGGAACTAATCGGTAAGACGGGCACAGCTAGTTTTCATTGGAATACCTATCATCTAAAACCATAATGATTTACCTTAAAGATGATTATATACATTATTGAGCAACAAAATTATTAAAATTAGGCCGACAGTGGTGGATCTAGCATTCGACGTAAGGAGGAAGGGTGATCCTAATAATTTCATTATAAACTCTATGACATATTTTCATTGGTACTTGCTAAACACCAAACAGCTAATACAACATGCATTGTCAGTACAATAAAATATCAACTTGATATTAATATCATCCTGCTTAATTTTACAAGACAAACTTTCAGCGCCTTTCAAATACATTATTATACCAACTCCAAACATATCAGTCTTTGTCCATACTCCTAAATGCTGCTTTCTTGACGAAACATTTTACTCCACCAATATATCAAACACTACAGACAAATACACTTGACGAGTTAGTTGAGTGTGTGGAGAGTATAGAAGAAAAAATAGTGAGGCTGATCTAAATATAATAGAATCTAAAGGACCTTGCTGCATCAAAATACGACTGCCGTTATATAACCTTTTTGAACTAAGGCGGTCTAAAGCTTAACACCAATCAATCAATCAAAATCCGACCTTCAATAATAGATAGTTGTCCATACAATATGTCATGCTCTCAATCACTCCGTTTTTAAAATAGTTTTCTATATCTGTGAACTTTTAATAAAGAATATTTATTTTGCAAATGGCCATTTTTCATTTACTAGCACTGATCAATACATTTGCAGTTGGACTGTAAGTCCCCGATGTTATCATCAGCTCAGCTCAGTCATGTCAGAAGTCAGTGCTTCGGTACATTGACATGATTTCATATCATATTTTTTCTAAAATTTCCTTTTTATAAATTCTGAAATAATTAAGAAACTAAGGCTTCAACTCCCTCAGGCAAATTTGGCCTTGGTAGAATTGGTCTGTCCTTTTTGTTATATAGCTCCTTGTGTTGCCGCATATGCATCTCTGGCTAATAAATGTTTTGTTAGAGCATTCTTGGGAAAGGTAAATTCAGAAAAATGCTCCAGACGCACACAATTTATTAAGTGTGTTTTATTTTTTTTTTATGTTGTGTAAAATTAATTCACACAATATGGCACTACCCTTAGTACAGAGACTATCAAAGACCAACCGTCAAAAACTAAATTCGTCGAAAGTTTCTGCTCCACTAGTTCCCCTCCCCCACCAGCCCATGGCAAGAAAATATCGGTGATAAGTCGCATTTGGCCATCATGTTAATCGTTATTAGTTTTGATCAAAATAACATTTCTAAGCGATGTTAAATTTGAAAGATTTTTTAAATATTATTTCGTTTGAATAATCTAATAGGAAAAACTGAAGTATTATGCAAAAAGTGGCGAGGCAGTAGACATTTTCCCGCGTGTAGCTTTGGCAACTTTAGACACAATATTAAGATGTGCATTCTCATACGAAGGAAATTTACAAGATCAGGGGTAAGTAGGTATTAGAGGAAAATAATATCGATACCGGTGTTTCCTGTAGTTTTGGAAAGAACTTTATCTTACAATTTACTTCCATGTCATGCCTATGGTAGTAGTAGACTAGATGTTTTGCAGTCTGTGCGTACGTCCGTTCATCAGTCCGTCCGTATGAAAGATGTAAGTTCGATGGAATTTTGCGTCTTCAAAAAATGAAGAAAACCTTTTTCCACTTTGTTTTACCCTACGTTAAACATTGTATGTCTAAAAAAGATTTTGCATATATCATATATATATATATATATATATATATATATTCGGTTTGACTTTTTTATTGTATAAATTTCAAGATTGTTATAGTTTAATCTAAGTAGACTGATATGTGATTCATTCAACATCACAATCATATTTACTGATGAAGGATATCTGTTATCCGAAATATTTATAAATAATTACATTTATAGTTCCTTTTTTTGTTATTGGTGTTGTTGTGTACACTTTTTAGGCGTTTATATATACGTTGTTTTCAATTTAGACTTGTTTATATTTTTTCGTTTGGGCTTGTATTATATTTGCCTTCGGGTTTATATGATCCGTTCATCCTATTTTGACTCTTTCAAAATTCAAGAGTCTATCCTAAATTGAGGTAAATTATATGGCCTTCCAAATACCGTTTCGATTCCTAACATCACTGAAGAGACATTAATTGTCGAAATCCGGATATGGTGTACAAATTTTTGCACCTCATGTTTGCGGTATACCATCTTTTCCGCAAGTTTATGGTTTTCTGTTTGGTAATAATTTAATAATAAGATCTGTTTTGTTACATCTTGTGATCCGTTTATTTGGCAATCGCCAATGGCAGTCAACAGGGTTTAAGAACATCAGTTGTTCGACCTGCTAGTCAAATGCGTTTTGTTAAAATATACTTTTTCACTCATTTGGTCTTTTGGAAAATGTTGTTTGTGCTGTATTTAGACCCCTCTACCAAGAAATTTGGTTTGCAGGCACACGTATAAAAATTGCGGTTTTTATCCAACGCAATCATAGGTTTGATCGTTGTTTTCAATTTAGACTTGCTTATATATATATATATACCAAACGATTAGAATAGAATAATTTATTTTACTTATTATTTGATAAGATGCCTTATACAAAACAATATCGAGTTCTAAAAAGCATCAGTTCTCCAATTGCATTTTTTTTCAAACCTTCTGTTTTATTATATACTCTACTAAGTACTACATATCTTTTATATGAAAATTATATACAAAAAAGCGAGAAAGTATAAAATGTGCAAAGAAAAAAATATAAATACTATATCGATGAAAGGTAATTGTAACCTCAATGGAAGTTAAAGCGAATGTTTTACACACCTCGTTACATAACTTGAGGTGTTTTCAGTAACTTTGCTGAAGGATAATTTACTGGGATTCAAAACCGATACCAGATAAATTCCTTTAGGACAAACAACAGCAGACTATTGTTTTTTGTTTTTTTTTTTTCGAAAACATCGTTTAAAATGTTGTTTTGTGAGCACATTCTTAATGTAGCCACGTCATATAAAAAAGAAGATGTGGTATGATTGCCAATGAGACAACTCTCCACAGGAGACCAAATGACACAGAAATTAACAAATGTAGGTCACCGTACGGCCTTCAACAATGAGCAAAGCCCATACCGCACAATAAGCTGTAAAAGGCCCCGAAATGACAATGTAAAACAATTCAAACGAGAAAACTAACGGCCTAATTTATGTACAAAAAATGAACGAAAAACAAATATGTAACACATAAACAAACGACAACCACTGAATTACAGGCTCCTTACTTGGGACAGGCACATACATACAGAATGTGGAGGGGTTAAACATGTTAGCGGGATCCCCCCCCCCCCCCCCCTAAACCTGGGACAGTGGTGTAACAGTACAACATAAGAACGAACTATAAAAGTCAGTTGAAAGAGGCTTAACTCATCAGATGGATAAAAATACAAATACTACAAATACAAGTGGACGTGTACATCCAAACAACAAAAAGACACTAAGTACAGATCTGAGAGTACTCGCAGTTACTAACAGCTAGTTCAAAGCCACTAACAACCAATTAAAAAAATCATGCATCTAAGAATAAATGTTTTTGTCACATGAACGAATAAAAACCTCGTGTGTGCTTCAAGATAGAATGTCGAAGTTGAAGAAAAATATCGAAATAATCGACCATGACCATTTTGTATAACTATTTCACTTTATTTTTAAACGTCCTGCTGCAACTTTTAATCGTTACTTCCCCTGACCTACCAAGAGTTGATCGATGTGCTAGCAAACTGAGTTGTTGAAAATCAAAAGTATCATTCTTAAAACTGTGAGCTGTATGAACATACATTTTGATTGATCGATTGATTGATTGGTATTTATAATTAACGTCACTTTCAACACTATTGTGTTATTTTGTGGCAGTCAATTTTTATTGGTAGAGGAAGACGAAGTGTCAGGAGAGAACCAACGACCTTCGGCAGTCATACATTTTAACATTTTTTTTTATCAATATATACCATAAGTAAATAAATGGTGATCGAACAACAGTACTAGTGTGGAAATGCTATGTGCATTCGTGAATAGATGGTAGTTGAGTCAACCGTAAAACTATTGTCGTTTCGATTTCAGTCTTTTTTTTTCATAATTCTTTTGAAGCAGTTTTAGTGCAAGGAGCACACCCCTGCTTATGAAGTTCATTTAGAATAATCATGCACGAACGTAACGTATCAGTTGATATATGTAAACGCCATACGATGGGACAGTTGTCAATTGGATACCGACTGTATGTTGATATATCAATCCATCAAACGCAATAAATTGTTGTCGATAAAAATATCCAGCATTTTGGTGATATCTTCAGTGTAGTTGACTTTGGAATCAGTGCAATTCTTCCCAAAGTAAGATTTTTCATGACCTCAAACAAGATATTTGTATGTATGATTTCCATTTTGTAGAAAAAGCTCTGGTTTAAGAGACGATGCATTCAATCTTTCAATTGAGTATGGGGAATAAACTCCGGCTAAAACGTCACTCAGTTATGTAGCAGATCTCACGAAATTTTTTCAAAAATTTACATGCAAATACAGCAGAATAAACTGCATATGAATATTAAAAAAAATATATTATATGTAATTTTGATACTTTCCGAGGTATAGCAAACTTAATATCCGGGATATTGAAGTACAAATGTAAAGAATTAACATAAATATTCGCAAAACAGTTCAGCAATTTTGACTTCAAATTACTATTTCTCGAAATGATGTTCTACGAATTCTTTTTTAAACTGACATACTATTGCTGCAGTACTGGTATTTTCGTTTTATTTGTATTATAAATCAAATGGGAATCATAAAGTTAGCAGCAATAAGATATATAATTTAAAGAAAATTAGTAGGACAATTTTTTAAGAAATGGCTGTTTTAAGTCAGTTATTTTCTATATATATTTATCCTATTTATTTGTTCTTCTTTCTACAGAAATTTCAATTTCCTTTATCTCCAAAAGTATCAAAGTTTCTTATACCTTTTTTTTCTAAATTCATATGCACTTCCACCTGTTCTATTTGCTTGCAGAAATTCATACAAATCCGTTGATTAGCCCATTTACATACATGCAACCTTAAAGCCAATCATGTCCAGGTGAAATTAAATAATAACGCACGGGCATCTCCGAGATAGTGAGTGCCATATAACGCTGATATGGATCTATACAGCGTACAATGGACTCTTTCAATTTTTCATTTGAATGTATTCTAAACTTTTATAGACTTGGACGATATCGAACATAGCATACTGTAGACACTTGTCTATTAGTGAAGACTGTCAATTGGCCTCTAGATGTCTTTAGGTTTTTTTTAGTCGTAGTGTTTCTCTCTCTATGATTTATACTGACTTCTCCGTTGATACATACTGTATATTCTACTGAAAACAAACCATAAACGAGCAGCAACTTATAATTCTAACATTGTTCATCGTTACAGATCAAAGCATCCCTACGTACATGCTGTAAACAGATTGTCATATCTAACGCTGTCGAGATGCTTGTAAGTATATGTAGATATAAGAAGATGCGGTATGAGTGCCAATGATACAACTCTCCATCCAAGTCAAAACTTGTACATGTATACATATGGATGGAGAATAATTGCGTAAAGTTGTCTTATATTTAGACGCATATGATAAGAATAATATTTATATGACTGCGTGATGAATAAATTATCAGCCGACAGGCAAATGCATATGATCTGCAAAAAAGGCGACAGAAGAAACCTCTGGGACATTCTTAGCTGATGCTTCAAAGAGAAACCGACAACGCAATGACAAAAAAAAACGAAAATACGACGCAGACAAACTGTCCAGAAAACACTTTATAGAAAACTAACGACTGAGCAAAGCGAAACTTACCAAAAACTAGATTTTGCAAGTTTACCATCTACATGTACTGTGGTACAACCATAGATAAAGCCGATGAGGAAAGGTATTTATTGACTAACGCAAGTTTTTTTATATAGCCTAGTTGACCGGGTTGCTTAAGGCGCTAGACACGGCGCAGATGGTTAGGACATTCTGTCACTGATCTGAATTTAAGACGAAGTATATAAATTATCATGTTAGCCTTGTATTACCATAGATGATCCGATGTAGAACGTCTACTTATATATATACACAGATTCTACAACTGCATCGAGTGTGCTACTATATTTATCCACTCGAGGAATATAGTTGTAATTTACCTAAAATTATTATTTAAAATTAATAAACTTTTTGATTAATAGAAAACTACGAAAGACTTATCATTCTTTTTTTCAGAAAGCCTTGGTATCAAATTGATTTTATCTATCAATTTTCTAACGAAGGAAAAGAACTGAAGCAGCTTTGTGATTATTCACACGAATTTTCAAACAGAATTATAAAAGACAGGCAGCAAATTCTGGTACGTGTTAAGAATTACGTAATACGTTAGTTATTATCATAGTTATTACTTAAGCGAGATCAAACTCCCAAACGTATGAATAAAATGTGTATCGGGTATACCTCACCGATACAGCTTGGTTACTACTATAGTTAAGTAAAACAGACAGATAGAGATATGTGTAGCCTTAATAATAGATAATAAGTCAATTTAGGTAAAAAGCTCTTTATTGTCCGAGGATTAAAAAGATATCAAGGGTAATTCAAATTCACATACATTCAATCTCTTCTACTGTTATTTAGTTAAAGCTGTAAACTGAAGGAGTTGGAACCTTATTTTCTTAATAATTTCTAAATTTATCAACTGTACATTCTTTACATTCTAGAAAAAAGAAGGACTACCAGCAAAGCGTCATCTTAATTTTCTGGATATACTCCTTACAGCTAAAGATGAAAATGGAATAGGACTTTCTGATGAAGATATAAGAGCTGAAGCGGAGACGTTTATGTTTGAAGGTGAATGTTTAGAGATTAGGTTTTTATATTTGGGTATTCACTCGTATAAATAGAAAATACCATAAGTCCATTGATAAGTCATAACAACCGAAGCCACACAAACAATACAGTGAAGTACACAAAGCAAGAAGACTAACATTTAATATTATGATATTATTACGTGAGTATTTCTGTATTGGCCTGAGGCGAAGCCGAAGGCCAATACGGCTGGCCTCGGACCAATAACAAGGCAGAAATACTCGCGTAATATAAAAAAATTATCTTTATTAATTAACTACAGTGTTAACATACTTTCATTTTACAAGAGATTAACATTTTTTACCTTGAAATGGAGCTATCCAAATCTGAGTTCCCATTTATAATCTGCAATATTTAATGATCTGGTGCTGTTTCCAAGTGTCTTCTACATTTTCTGATGATTTTTTTACCCTTTCCAGTCACTATAAAGTGTAACAATTCATATTTAAACGCAACACATAAATAGTAATTGGAAAGGTATTATGCGGAAACTTGGTCCCGTCTTTGTAATCTGTGTTGTAGTCTTTCTTTCATGTTTTTATCAATTCTTTTTGCGGGGAACTACTCATATTGATGTTACATTATTTGGGAACTAGCTTGGACTCGGCATGACAACAGGACCTAAAAGACAATCCAGTCTGCTAACTACATTTTTATTCTGGTTCACAATCTAATCATATTTACAACAGTTACAATACAAATTACATTTCTTTTCCCAACATAGTTATACACCAAATATTCCGCGATATAAATCGAACAATAATACAAAACCCGACAATAGCATATACGCGCCATAAATGAACAGTCAAGTCATTTGTTATCTCCCCTTAACTCGTTTACTTTTAATATTTAATCAAGTATCAAAATAAGAATTGTATTTTCAAAAGTTATCTTTACAAAGAAGTTAAATATCCTTTTAATAAGTTAAGAACCTTTTATTTAATTCATTTACCTTAATATTATTTTTAACTTTGCCTACAATTTATTTAATCTATATCACGATTTTACTTGCGAATATGAATAAAATTTACTTTACTGGAAAACATCTTTTAAATCTTTAAACTCGTTTCTTGTAAATTTATAAAGCATTCCATCAAACAACAGTAAAATATTTACTAACCTAAAAGACAATCCAGTCTGCTAACTACATTTTTATTCTGGTTCACAATCTAATGAACCAAATAATTTTGCACGACTTTATATAGCAGAACTGGACTTAATCTGACACGTGAATATTTTGTTACTCATTACAATGGCTTTCTTTGATCTATTCTAAATAAACAATTGAATATGTCGGATATGGGTAGAATTACTTAATCTTAATTGTTCAAGTCTATTAATTTCAAAAAGTATGTATAATTATCGTTTTGCCTTCTAAGCTGACACATTTATCAATTAGCCGGGGGGATACGTTTGAGACAACGTTATTTAGTATGTTTTAAAAGATAAAACACTTACATGATAATTTTAGGAAATTGTTCTATACACAAATTAAACTTTCTTAAACTTGTTTTATTTGTTTTATTTACGTTCATTTCTTGGTTTACTTATTTTGTAATAAATATTCTCCTTAACTTCTGTGCATTTTTCCATTATTTAACAAAACTTTATTTGTAATTTATTAGTAAATACTATCTTTAAATATCACGCATTTTTGCATCATTATATTACCCCTTTGTTTAAAAATTTTTGTCCCCAAAAATTAGTTTATGTTAGGAGAACAAGATGAAGTTTAATATGAGATAACAAGTAAAATTTCTAATAGTTCAAGTTTTCTTTGTTACTCTGTCGTCTTGATGTGCTGGCTCTTCGGCTAGAATATATTTCACTGTTTTGAAAACAAATAGTTCTATATACATAATTTTACACAGTTTTTCTATTTCTGTCAATTTCCATAAAGTCATTTAAATTTTGAGTCCATATTACTATCACGGTGTATCTTTTTCTTTAAATGATCTTGGGTCTTTTCTTAGTTCTAAGATGATGAATTTTCGAGGCTGTAGTCCCGGACCAATCACCATGCAGGATACTCAGGAATATGAAACGACATAAGAAATAGTTAGCTCATGTATAAACAATAAAACAATAATACATATTAAGTATAAGACAATTTATGTACATCAAAGAAAAAAATTCAGAACCAACATTTGTTTACCCATTATTTACAACATTTTTTTTTTTTTTTACAGTTTTATTCGTAAATTAAATTATCTATATTCATTGGTTATATCAAAAGGTAACGAGGTCGCGCAATTGAAATAAACTCAAATTTCTAGATACTTTACAAGTTTTTGGCCTACTTAACTGAAACAATAGTTGCGAGTGCAGCTACGACTAAAACTAAATCAGATAATTATAGTAAGCTTTAATGGTATACAATAAAATCTTCAATGTTCCGGGACAAACAACTGTCGAACTCATAATTTGTTTACCAAGTTTGTATTCTCTTTACTTTAGAATAACATTATTCGATTACTATTCGAGTGGACGTCGATTTTATTTCATACCTATTTGTCAAACTGTTCGTAAAACAACTGTTTCCTGTTTTGCAGGTGGCAGCACAATTATTTGTAACTATTAGCTACTTTTCTTCAAAATATTTATTTTCAGTATTTCAGTATATCACATGATCTTTTTTTAGCTGAATAACTTCTTTTCATTTCTATAGTATATATAAGTTATCTGTGCTTTGGAGTGCAAGTTTACCACAAAACAGTTTTTCTAAAGTATGCGACCAACCTAGGTTTTATAATTATACATTTTCGAAGTTGAAGTTGAATTGTGTCAAGATGAATCACGGTAGCTGGTCTAGACTTCAGCTGAGCACTAATTTTAAATACTACAAAGATAGCAGTAAAAATTCTTATGGTTCATACTTGGCCTAATTCAATATCATTGGCCTAAATTGTTAGTATACTAATAGTTCGTGTTGTTACTTGGGCACTAAAGAAAGCTAAATTGCATACTTGGCAACTTGAAACCGACAGATATAAAGACTTATAAATTTATTTTGACACTACATTTTTTTATAACATTCAATATTTCTTTACGGATTTGTCTGTTTCACAAATAAACTAACTGGTCTTTTTCTCTTCGTGCCTGATTTAGTAAATTTAGTGTAAAATTCAACCAATAGACCTTCACCTATGTTTTCTTCAGGTTCCCAGGTAGTATTTTTATAACCTACCCATTTGACCTTATAATAGTTTTTACCTTGTCTACGCTTTTTGGCAAGTAATTTTTCTGCAATGAAGTTATTATCTTCATCATTAGTCTCGTCATTTTGTTGCAACAATGCATCATTTTGTTGCATCTGTGCATCATTTTGTTGCATTTGTGCATCATCATTTTGTGATCTATCTATATTGTCATTTTGAACATCATCTATATCATCTACTCTATCTCTATTATTTTCAGCAACATTTCTAGGAATATCCCTATGATCTCTTGGATCAATATAAGGTTTCATTCGATTTGTGTGTATTCGAGATTTAATCAACTTGTGATCTGAACATCGTCTTAATTTGCATGTATTATTTTGTCCAACATTTATTACATAAAATGGACCATCCCACTTTGGGTGTAATTTCGGTGATAAACCTTTTGGTACTTTCATAGATTGCAACATAACATAATCTCCAACTCTAAATTTCGGTGCTTCAGCTTTCTTTTCATACCTATTTTTAATTTTCTCTTGTGAATTTTCTACCGAGGTTTTTGCTATATCTTTTACAATTTTAAGTCTATCAATAAGGGTATCGAGATGACTCTTAGCAGTTTTACTCATACCATCTTTAGGTTGAACAGAAATATCAAATGGCAAGTTCATTTCTTTACCAAACAACATTTGAAATGGAGAATAACCAGTTGATTCAGTATTAGTAGACATACGTAAAGCCATCATAACGCTAGGAACTTACTTGTGCCAATTTGACTGATCTTTAGCCACTAATGTTCGTAAAGTTTGGGCGATCGTTCGATTCATTCGTTCACATGTTGAATTGGTTTGCGGATGGTACGAACTAGTATGATACCTTTGAACTTCAAATAGTTCACATAGAGCCTGAATAAGCTTACTACAAAAATTTGCTCCTCTGTCAGATAGAATAGCCCTTGGGGCACCAAACCTAGAGAATACCTCATTACATAATACTTCAGCTATTTCAGTTGCTTCTTGAGTCTTAAGAGGGAAACATTCGGGCCATCGAGAAAAACTATCGACCACTAATAACAAGTGTTGATGTCCGTCGTTTGTTTTGGGAAGACATGTAAGAATTTCCATATGCCATCTTGATAAAGTGTCTTCAATAGGAAGAGGAAGTAGTGGGGCTGGTCTATGGTGGGTTGGTTGTTTTGACCTTTGACATTTATCACATGACGTCACATAGTTATAAACTTCTTGATACATACCTGACCAGTAATATTTAAGATGTATTGCAGCGTACGTGCGTTTGACGCCTGTGTGACCAGTATGATCATGATATGCTAATAAAGAATCTTGTCTTAGACATTTTGGTAAAACCAATTGTTCAATCATGCTTTCAGCTTTAGGTATCCCTTTTGTTCTTGACCTATGTAAATGAATCAACTCACCAGACTGACCTAACCTATAGTGGTCTCGCTCATAACATATGTTGCGAGCCTCTTTTTGATTTTCGGGCAATTCGCCGTTTCAAGGTATTTTATCAATGGGACCAACTCATCACATTCTCTTTGCATTTTAGAAATATCTGATATATCATTCAGATCAACATCATTCCTTTCAATAGCTGCAATTAATGGCTTTTCATTTGCATATTCGAACTTAATTTCAGTTTTAATTTTATTTTCCAATAAACTGTTTACAGCCAATTTTGGGTGAATTTCCTGTTCAATATCTTTATATGGAATTCTTGACAAAGCATCCGCATTTGTATTCTTTTTACCTTCTTTATATATAATTTCAAAATCATAATTTTGCAATTCAAGAGCCCATCTACCTA